TTTTTCTAGGTTTAGCTGAGTTTACAATCACATTTAATCAAGTTGAATCACCTTGTCATATATACACCTGTATGCCATGATTTGTGCTATTTGACTAACCTTCCCTTCCCATGAATTTGTTATGATATCCTGATCCGCTTTTCACATATAAACTTTAATTTACTTAATTTTTCACACTAAAGAGTAAAGACGCATTTCATATAGAAACCTTAGATTTCTTTTGCCTTATTGACGTCTAACCTAAAAAGTAAAAACCAACGAATTTCTAGTTGTTGGAAATTCTAAAACCTGCATTGCAGATCGGAAAATCATCTCCACAAGTTCCTGCACAAATAATAAGAAAAAGACAATCACAATTATTAAAAACAGTCAACAAATCATAATGATTTTAAACTATTAATTGGTTTGTTTGATTGGATGGAAAGGAACGGAATGAACCATTCCATTCCTTTTTCTGATTCCGTCATACAAAATAGTCAACAAATCACTTGCCATCTTTTAGTTTTTAGGGCTTGCGGAACTATTTCTTGATAAAAGTGGTAAATATATTCAATGGGATTATGTAACTTATATGAGTAATTTAGGCAGTGCTTTGTTTACTAGCATGAGAAAGGTTTTAGGCATATCCGTGTGCAAGGAGACTCCAAACTTTTTTGTATGCAGGTATATTTTTTTCCTTTTTTATTTTTGTTTCCAGTAAAAGTTACACCACTACAAATTGATATGATAGATTAGAAATGGATAGAATTGTAATATATGCCATGCTAAAAACTTCAAAAATAAAATAGTAAATGGAACGTGACATTCTTTTTGTGGCTAATGATTAAAGATGTTGCCTTTAAGATCAAAATCCACATTTCCTTCACATGACACTTTATGGAGGCCTTTTTGTAACTCTTTATTGTGTTTGTATTTGAAATAGAAACCTCAAATTCTACTTTTTTCTAAATATCGACTCTATAATATCTACTTCCTTCAAAGATAATGACTTCACATTTGAAGGAAAATCACATATTCTTAAACATTCAAGTATTGAGCATAAACATTTCATTTATATTAATATTAATTTAATAAGCTACTTATAAGGAAGTAATTAGAAAGTAAGTATAAAATAGGAGGTGAATAAACATAAACATAAGTTTTGGTGTTGAAACATTTTAAAGGTTTATAGTGGTGTTTATGTTGTTAATGTGGTAAGTGTTATGAAAAAAAAACAGGTGAATGGTTTGTGGAAAACGAAAACCCAGAACATGACAAGCTTATGCAAAGTAGCAAAGGAGTTGAAAGATAAGTTTGCATCTTTCTAGATTTGTCATGTTGAAAGGTATGTATGCATTCAGACATATTATTCCTTCAGATCAGAAGTTATTATTGAATCCTAACAAGTTTATCGTATATTATATGAAATGAAAGGAGTTCAACACTGAAGCTGATCGATGCTCAAGCGAACCTGGGAGTACATCTCCAGGGTAAGAATGTCATTTCATATTTTATTTTTATTAAGAGAGAGAGAGAGAGAGAGAGAGAGAGAGAGGGTTTATAATTGTTGTATCTGGTGTTTGTCTACAACTGGAGAGGTTCAGGAGGAGGTTAACAGGAGATAGTTGAAAGGAAGGTGTGTTTTTGTCGGACTTATAGCTTAGAAGGAATGGATATTTATTCTACTCTTTTATATGTAAGTCTCATTGATATTATAACACTATAACTAAACCTCCAGAGGGCAAAATGGTAATTTTACATAATCTTTGGTCTCGTATGTTGTAGCACCTAAAGGAGGGTATGAGGTTGAGTTATTTGGCACAAGAGCTAATATTAACGGATCGATTAGCCCTAAATCACGGTAACCATTTTTAAATATATATAAGTGGTTGACTTATGTCTTCTATAAGGACATATTTTTTATATTTCATTTATTTATTTTTTAAATATAAATATGACTGGTGTGCAATGGGAAATTGCTTTAGTATGCAAAAAGACCATGAAACTGCTCTCAAGAACTTTCAATGAGCAATACAACTGAATTCAAAAATTGCATATGCTCACACCCTTTGTGGTCATGAATATGATTTTTTATTTCTTTTATTTTTCATATTTTGAAATTTGTTTTTTTTGGATAGTAAGGGTAAAATGGTCATTTAGTCTCGTTCATATGTTTTATATTCATTCTAAAAAAGAAACAAACCTTACATATATATACAACACATTATCGAGACAAAGATCACATTATCCATTCATCCAACAACATAACGGAAAAAAATTAAACTCAATGTCCCGTTTGTACAAAAGACGAAAATGCCCTTACCCTCATTATAAAAAATATCCATAAAAGCTTGTCCTGTGACTCCTGTCCCATGTACAATTTACAAATGCACCCTTACATCACTTTTTTTATATGCATTTATCTTTTTTTTTACAGATATGTGGCATTGGAGGACTTTGAGAATGGAATAAAATGTTACCAAAACGCCCTTCAAGTTGACGGAAGACATTATAACGCATGGTATGGCCTTGCGTAAATTCTCAAAACATCACTTTCGAAAGGCTCTCCAAATAAACCTCATTGCATGCCTTAAAGGTACAAAAATAATACATTCTCTTTGGTCATTTTACCCTTCTCTTTGGTCAATGATCATTTTACCCTTCTATTTAAAAACAATGCTTGCTAACAAGGAAACAATATCTTACTTTTGTTAGACATAAGACCGTTTAACCCTTCTATTTAGAAACAATGCTTACCAACAAAAGAAACAATATCCTTCTCTTCTTTGAGTACACGACCATTTTACCCTTCTATTCAATGAATGACCATTTGACCATTCTATTTGGTAAATGACCATTTTATCATTGTATTTTGCAGGAGTCTGAAAAGTATTCCATAAGGATGCCCAACAAATGGAACTTTTCATTTGATTACTTCTATTTTGCTTTTGTGGTGTTAGCAACTCTATAATTTCATGTATAATTTAGGTGGGAAATCATCCGTTCTTATATGAAAATTTATCTGGTTATTGTTGTCGTATTATAAACATTTATAGCATTTGTCATGTCTTTTGTCTAATTGGATATTATTATATTTCATTTTAAAAATGACATTTAATATTTTAATAATTTCTTAAATATTGACCTTTTTTTGTCTAAAAGGCTAAATCAGTGACGACCTGTTATAGTCACTAATTGGATAAACCAGTGACCACTTTCTATGGTCACTAATCGGATAAAACAGTGACGACTTTTATTCGTCACTAAGTAGATAAAATAGTGACGACTTTTATTGGTCACTAAGTAGATAAAATAGTGACGACTTTCACTGATTAGTGACAACATTTAGTGACGAAGCGGGTCGTCACAGATTTAGTGACGATTATATTTTAGTCACTGTTTAGTGACCATATTTATATCTGGTCACTAAATCGGTTTTGTGACGGACCTATAGTGACGAAAAGTGACGACCGAAATTTTGGTCACTAAATCATTTAGTGACGACTCATTCTATTGTTAGTGACCATTTCGCTTTGGTCACTACGTGACATATTTTTTGTAGTGTAACCTACAAAGAAAACAATTTGTAAAAATGTACTTTTAATAACCTCATCTTTCATCCTTTAAAACTAAGTTCATTTTAAAATGTAAACAAACCATTGATTAATTGGTGATAACATTATAACTTATAAGAGACCTTACTCTAGTTTTCCATTTCGAGTGAATGATTTGGAGTTTATACCCATTGTATGGTCTAACTTCCAGCCTTCATTCTGGAAAAAAATATATACAAGATAATAAGAAAATAAACCATTAATTCATAAAGATATGGACTCGATTGTTTGTAAAATGTTTTACATAAGCTTTAGATTTTGTTTTCTTATTAGAGTATTGCACTTTGAGAGTAAAGTGATATAAATGGGTAGAATTTCAAAGTATAATGTTTGTTTTGTATTTCTATTTATATGTGGGATTGATGCAAAGAAAAACATAAAATTGTCATTGAAAAAAGCAAAGTTGTGAAATTTGTGATATAATAAGATGAACAAATAAAAGGTAAAAAAAAAGATGATTTCTCATTGAAAATGAAGCCAAAGTTATGAACTTTGTGATATAAACAAAGAGGGTAAAAACGATGAGCACCATATTTCAAAAAAAAAAAAAAAAATGCGTAAAAGTTACCATGTATTAAAGATCTTGCTTCGTTTTGTTATCATTTAAAGATCATAATAAATATTCTAGACTTTTACTTGCTACATGACAACCCAAGAAACATCATATCTGAAAATTGGAGTCATAAGCTCGTAATCAGTCTTTCTCACACTATTAAAACATAATAATCATTTAAGCACAACTAATCCCTATAATTATCGAGTACATAGAACCATACCAGAAAAACACGTTTCCAAATCAAACTATTAAAATGCGAGCAATGGATCTGCAAAAACAGATCAATACATGAAGCGATTTTTAACCCAAAAGAACACACAACCATCATTAACGGAAGAAAGGATGTCGTTCCAAAAAAAACTAAAGAAAAGAATCCATTGAATCAAACACATATTAACCGAATAGATTAAGTCACACACTTAGAAACTTACAGTGAAAAGTGTTACCGGTCGGCTAGAAGGGGTCGTGGTGGGTTTTAGCTAGGGTTTCTGCCTTTGGAATCGAGTTGGGTAAAACAAAAAGATGCCTATCTTTGGAATCGAGCTACACCTGTTACTTACATGGCTTTATGTTTTTTGGAGTTTGGAATCAAGCAAGGTATTGAGTCGATATTGGGAGGATAAATTAGGATGTCGATTTAGGAGGAAGCATTGGGTGGGAACGAAATTAGTAGGAGGGAAATAAAAAGTCTAATGAAATAAATTGGGGGGGGGGGGGGGGAATGAAAAATCAGCAATAGATTTTTACCTAGTGATTAACTAGGGTAATCCCTCTCTAGATAGATACAGTTTTGGGTATTAAAATACATATAGATTCCATCACTAATCCCTTGCAAATCCGTCGCTAATTAGCTAGCTAGGATTTTCTCCGTCGTTGATTCCGTCGCTGATACCTGTTTTTCTTGTAGTGAAACAAATCATATAAATATGTCAATTAATAATTGTTTTAAAATAATTGATTAATGATTATGATTTTGACTATTAATATCGGTTTAATCTATTAACCGTGGTTTCTACGTATTAGAACCTAATTTAATACATAATTCTACCATTTTTACAAAACTAAATATTTATTTTACATGAAAGATAGTTAATATATAATACAAGTACATATAGAAAACATATTATAATGAAACTTAATAAAATCTAGAACACTTATACATACATACATAGAGACATTAGTAAAGGGGTTGTAACATGATTAAGCAAGAGTCTTCATAAGAGATTGAAGAGCTTCTTCAGAAATAATTTTGTACATTCTTTCGGTAAAATGAACAGCATCCCAATAAACATACTTGCTTCTATTGACACAAGTAGACAACCCTTTACAGCTTGACCCGAACTCTAATCCTGATCCACAACAACCCTTTGATGCCTCTACAAAACCTGAATTTTATTTATTAGCAAATCATAAGTCACTGCATTAGCATAAAATTTCGATTTGATACCAAGGTTTTTTTTTCTCAAAATTAGGTGTTCTAGCCAGAAATATATAAACTACAAGTTTAATTACAATATTATATTTAGTATACTACGAGTTAAGCATGCAAAATAATTTGAACATAAGAACTGACCATATTTTCTTGGGTTTTGAACTGTGTCCAGTATAAGACTATAAATGTCTGTGTAGAAGTTTATGATTCCCAATGATGGTTTAAGAGAAGCCATAAGTGTTTTGATCTTTGTGTTGAAGGTAAGTGCCACCTTGTTGTAAACATCATCGCACTCAACTGTTCCTCTAAGCGCTTTTATGAGTGGAATACACCCAAATGGCTCCATTCCCACCACTGCTAATCTCCTTGCACCCTCGACGTGCATTTCCTAAAATTTCGATTAAAAAAACATAGTAAAAACTAAAAAGCAAACCAACAAAGACTATTAATATACAAAGAATAAAACCATTAATATGACATTAGTTTATTCACATACTAGCAACTCATCCCCTGCAACTTTTTTATTAAATTTTTTGTTATGTTTCCATTGACTATATATTATTATGCAACACGAACAAAGTCATAAACAGATATTTTTTCTTTAGAATTTATTTTGAATAGAGTAATACACACATGTTTTGTTTTTTTAGGCAACGTTATTTATAAATTCTCATTATAATAAAAAGAACATAACACAAAAACTTTTTAGTAAGGATATTGATATTTCCACCGGATAATTATATCCATCCACTTAAAAAACAAGTGTTTGGACCTTTTTACCCCTTAGTTGAAGTAATGTTGGAACAGACATAGAAAAATCCCTACTTTTACGGCTTCCTCATTGCTTCATCGTTGTACGTTGCAACTTCTTCATCGAGAGAAAGATTGGCTCCTTCTTCATCACTAATCAACTATTGATAGTAAGTTTAGAGTCCCCAACTGCCAAATGACAAGCACATGAACATTGTTCTGCTTCTTTTTTCGTTTATTTTTAATTTTATTTAATTTGATTTATAACTCTTGAATCTATCCCCATTATTTGTCCAATTACTGCTAGTTGTCAAAGACATGTTTAACTGCCTAAGTCATCAACGAACAGGGGTTGCCCAAACGACTGAAAATGAAGCAAAAACAGATAATCTTGATAAGGTAGAAGTTTTCCAATCCGTTACACATACACACTTATTTCTATTTATTTCTTTCTTTTCTTTAGGGGCTGTAGTAAACATAATCTTTTTTTCTTTTTTTCTTTTTGTCCTGTCTATGTGATTTAAGGTTCTGTTACAACTGCTTCAACAAATGAGAATGGATTCATCAAATAATATGATACAAAATAAAGAACTTTATTTATCGTGTAATCATATTTTCCGTTCCAATGGCATTTCAGGATTTAATGAACCCCAATGTGAGCTTTGTCCCATTTGTATCAAATCAATCTAGCCATTTCACAAGAGTATATTAAGCTATATGAATAGATTTGGTTGTATGCATATCATATATCTGTTTTTTCAACCAACTAAGTACACCTAGATTTGGTTGGAAATTTTTTTTGAGTTCATGTTGCTGAGATTGGTTTAAACTAAGAGGTTTTAATTTCCACATTATACAAAATTATACAAAATTGACAAATTATATGTTAAACTACAATAATGACAAACTATGTATCAAAAAACATAAAAAATACAATATAATATAAAATAGAATGGTTTATTTATTAATTTATTACTACATTATTATTATTATTATTATTATTATTATTATTATTATTATTATTATTATTTTGTTTCCTGTGTTTATTTGGAAAAATTGGCCAATGCTTTTTCTTAATAAATTTATATGAACCTAAATCTTAATGCACGGTTTTAATAGAAAAAAAACACAAATAATTTTTTTTACGTAAAATAAGATAAACAGTGTTTTTTTAATAAAAATAATTGTGTTTTTTGTTGACAAAATCTTTCTATCTTTCCTCTCTTCAATATTAAAATTGAGGATTTTTCTCTCACTTTCCAATATTTAACTTAAGGGTAAAAGGGTCCAAACACTTATTTTTAAGTGGAAGGATAAAATTGCTAAGTGGAATTATCATTACCCTTTGGAAGTTGATCCGTACACAACAATTTTTTTCCATACACAACAATTGGTGTTTTAAAATGTTGTATTGTACAACTATATAATGCATGAATTGTTGTGTATGACAAAAAATTGTTATATACGAATCACTTCTCTTACCCTTTTAGTAAAATCTATGTAATGATGTTACTTACATCAATTAATGCAAAGTTTGTTTGCAGCTTAATGAAAGGTTTGTTTGTAGTAGAACATTAATAGGTTAAAAAGTCATATTTACACACGTTGCAATATAATCCATATTAGCATGTCTATTTCAATTGGGATGAGTAAAATTACATCTTATTTTACCATATACACATCCAACTTAAATTTTCAAATACGTTAAATTTTCAAATATTTTTTATTAGTTGAAATTTTATTGTTTTCCGAAAAAAACTACTTTTATATATATATATATATATATATATATATATATATATATATATATATATATATATAGAGAGAGAGAGAGAGAGAGAGAGAGAGAGAGAGAGAGAGAGAGAGAGAGAGAGAGAGAGAGAGAGAGAGAGAGAGAGAGAGAGAGAGAGAGAGAGAGAGAGAGAGAGAGAGAGAGAGAGAGAGAGAGAGAGAGAGAGAGACCTTAATGTACTTTGTCATGGCAGAAATCAAGAAATCTTGATACTCGTCTATGGTGAATTGTTTAGCACGAGTAGGCTCGATGTAATAGTTCTGTAGGAAGTCATTCGTCCCCATGCTCAGTAAAAACACACCATTTGTGACGATTTTCTGAGCTCTTTTCTTCCCCACCAGCCTTCCTAGTCTCGCCTTGTATTGCCGAAAGTAATCCAATTGTTTGGAGAGTGATATCACGTTCTAATTCATGCCAAAAGTAACATCAAACATATGACCATTGGTTCAAGACACTCTTTTATAAAGGAGTAAAAATATACATAATCTACAGAGTTCTTACCGAGAGCTCGGCAGTAAGATCATCAAAACCAGAACCACCAGACGCGAAGCTAACACCGTTAGGAAGTTGTGCATTTGTCAAATTTGGATCAAGATACGCAGGTATGGTTTTCGTGTGACCCAATGCCTCCGCTGTAAAACAAATTAAGGTATTAGACAGATATGTAACGTAAGTACATGGTGATATATAGTAATCGGAAAATGATTCAAATAGTACGATACCAATGAGATCAGTTGCAAGTCTTCCGTTGCTAAACCGTCCGGTAGGTCGGCCATTGTAGAAGTCTTTACCATAAGGCAAGAAGTTAACCTTTTGGTCCGTAAGAAGGTTATTGTTGTTACCAGGATCAACACTAGAGTCGCCAAACACAAAAATGCAAGACACATTGTTCTTGGCTGCAAAGACCCTTAGCTTTGCAATGTCTATAGCTTGTGCATGTACAAGCATAGCAAAGAGTGCCACAATCACCCTCGTGATCATATTAGAGTTAGAGAATACAAATACTATCGTTTAAATTTGAAATATAGAAGATACCTACTCTCGTTTAAATAAGTACACAACAGTGATACAGGTATTTAATTTTGTTAGGTTGAAGACTTTAATGATTCTACAGATATATTGATCAGAATTTATTAGTCCAAGTCCTCTAGCTTTCAAAATATTCAGTCGTGTCTAGTATAATCTTTTAATCAAATTTTTTGTATGTGGTAGGGTTCATCGTTTACTTTGTTGTAGTGGATATCATTGAGAAATGTGTGATAGTATTTATCTATTCGACCACTGGTGGTGAAGAGTTTCCTTCACTTTTTTCGTCATCTTTTCTCCTATTTTCCTTTCTCTCACTAAAACCCAACCCAATCTCTCTTTACTATATTTTTATTTTTTTTTTTAAATATATTTCATACATATATTATAACTATGAATTTTGATATATTTTTAGTAAGTATATAATTTTATAAATATTAAAAAACATATAAAAAAAAAAACTGACCAATAGAAACAGGAGAGAAAACACGGCACCCCCTCCCGCATCTCCTTCCTGCGGGTTGCTCCCCTCACCGACGGTGCGGTTCTCCGGTGAGAGGGAAGCCCTCCCGCACATGTTTCCCGCTCCGCTCCGCATGGCCTTACTGTTATGAACTTATGCAAGATGTTACGTGTTATAGAAATTATCCATAAGCTTCTTTAACTAAATTTATCCTCTGCAGCTCATTTATAAATTATTAACAAAATTCTGTTATTGGTCATTGTGGTTTTCCGAATAAAAAAAAAAAAGAAAAAGAAAAACTATTAAAATTGGTATGGGATATATATGTACGTGGTTTCAAAATTTTGTCTATTTGTTTGGCCGATATAAAATGATTTCTTTTTAATTTAATTTACCTTTATTACAAACTATTCTTTTTTTATATATTCTTTTATTTAGAAAAAATAAATATATATGGGTCTCTCTCTCCATTATTAACACCCATTTCTTCTTTTCTTACTCCACCATACTCTCCATCATGTTCTTTAAAGTCTTCTTTCTTCCCTAAAATTTTGTACTTGTACCCCCTCCCCCCTCTAACACTACTAGAAAACTTGATCAATAGTTGAGCTATTCCGTAGCAATAAGCGGATAGCTACAGAATTGCTACGGAAAAATGGATGTAGTAAAATGGCCTGTGGCTAAATTATAGCTACGGATTAGCTACGGAACCGCTACTGAATAGCTACGGAAAATTCCGTAGCTACCATAGCTACAGAATAACTACAGAAAAAATAGCTACGGAATTCCTATGGAATCGCTACGGAGCTAAATAGCTACGGACCTAAATAGCTACGGAATAGCTACGGATGCACATAGCTACGGAATAGCTACGGACCTAAATAGCTACGGAAATTCGTAGCTATTCCGTAGCTAGCTTCGTTTTTATTTAAAAAAAATAATTTAAAATCTTCCAATTTTTTTGTCAAATACCACATTCAATTCAGATTTGTCCCAAAAACCATATAAAATACATCAAAAAACATCCCTAATACCAAGTTTGACACATTTTATTCCATTGTCCAAAATACCATACAAAAGTAAGCACAAACAAACAATATCAAGTGTTTACAAATTCAATTGTTCCAAAATACTTATCAATTGTCCTAAGGTGGATTATCGAGGGGAGCATCGGGTTGATTTCCATACATATTCAGCATCCACATAACCATTTCCATTTGTTCTTTCATTTGTTGTTGTTGTTCCATGGTAGAAACCTCTGCACACAACCTATCAACCCAAAAAAATTGTAACACAATTCAATACTTAAACAATAATAGCAATGTACTTTAGTTTATTATAACAATGCATTTTTTTATAATACTTATAGCGATATACATAACTTTTAATCTCCAACCTTCATTTGCCTTTTGTTTCGATAATGATGAATTGTAACCACCTACAACACAAGACACAATTCACTTGAAGTTTTTAATTTATTTAAGAGAATGTTAAGATATACCTCTGTCTTTGATTCATAGAATGCTTGCAGCATGCCATAATATATGTTAATATAAACCTACCAAATATATAATAAAATTGCTTGGTAGATTGTAAAAAATAATAAACTATTGTAATGGTGATGATGATGATGGTGTTGGAGTTGGAGTTGGCGCTGGTGATGATGATGATGATGGTGGTGGTGGTGGTGGTGGTGGTGATGGTAATGGTGATGGTGATGGTGATGATGATGATGATGATGATGGTGATGGTGATGGTGTTGGTGCTAGTGATGATGATGATGGTGATGATGATAATGATGATGATGATGGTGATGGTGATGGTGATGGAAATAGTGATTGTGATGGTGATGGATGATGATGATGACAATGATGGTGATGATGATGATGATGGTGATGGTGATGGTGATGGTGTTAGTGCTGGTGATGATGATGATGGTGATGATGATAATGATGATGATGATGGTGATGGTGATGGTGATGGTGATGGAAATAGTGATTGTGATGGTGATGGATGATGATGATGATGATGATGATGATGGTGATTGTGGTGGTGGTGATGAAGGTGATAATGGTGATGATGATAGCGATGGTGATGTTGACGTTGTGATGGTGATGGTGATGTTGATGGTGATGGTGATGTTGATGATGATAGTGATGGTTATGGTGATAATGGTGATGGTGATAGTGTTGGTGATGTTGATGTTGTGATGGTGATGGTGATGGCAATGATGATGGTGATGGTGATGATGTTTATGATGGTGATGGTGATGGTGATAATGATGATGGTCGTGGTGGTGATGATGATGGTGGTGGTGATGACGATGATGATGGGGGTAATGATGGTAATGATGATGATGATGATGATGATGATGGGGGTAATGATGGTAATGATGATGATGGGGGTGATGATAGTGATGATGGTGGTGATGGTGGTGACGGTGATGATGGTGATGTTGGTGATGGTAATGGAGGTGATGCTGATAGTGGTGGTGGTGATGGTGATGGTTATAGTTATAATGGTGATGGTGATGGTGATGTTGATGGTGTGATGGTGATGGTGATAGTGATGTTGATGGTGATGGTGATGGTGATGGCGATAATGGTGATGGTGATGGTGATGGTGATGATGATGGTGGTGGTGGTGATGATGATGATAATGATGGTGGTGCTGATGATGGTGGTAGTGGTGGTCGTTGTGACGAAGATGATGATGATAGTGGTGGTGGTGGTGATGATGATGATGATGGTGAAAATGATGTGATGATGATGGTGATGATGGTGGTGATGGTTGTGATATTGATGATGGCGATGATGGTGATGGTGATGATGATGGTGGTGGTGGTGAAGATGGTGATGATGGTGATGATGATGATGATGATGATGATGATGAAGGGGGTGATGATGGGGGTGATTATAGTGATGATGGTGGTGATGGTGGTGACGGTGATGATGGTGATGGTGGTTATGGTGATGGTGATGGTGATGGTGTGATGGTGATGATGATGGTGATGTTGATGGTGATGGTGATGGTGATGGTGATGGCGATGGTGATGGTGATGGTGATGATGTTTATGATGGTGATGGTGATAATGATGATGGTCGTGGTGGTGATGATAATGGTGGTGATGATGATGATGGTGGTGGTGATGATGATGATGATGGTGGTGGTAATGTTTATGATGGTGATGGTGATGATGTTTATGATGGTGATAGTGATGATGATGGTGATGGTGGTAGTGACGGTGGTGGTGGTGATGATGATGATGATGGTGGTGGTGGTGGTGATGGTGATGTTCATGATGATGATGATGGTGGTGGTGGTGGTGGTGGTGATGGTGATGTTCATGATGATGATGATGATGATGGTGGTGGTAGTGATGATGATGATGATGATGGTGATGATGAAGATGGTGATGCTGGTGATGATGATGATCATCATCATCATCATCATCATCATGTAGGTATACATGTTTGTGAGATGTATGTGAACGTATTCATAAGAAATATATTGTTAAACCATTAAACGAGTAATGGATCTTGTATGTGCACACGACTTTATGAACGATATTAATAGCTATAAGTTATTGAAAATATACATAACCATGTATAGTAGATGTGTGAAAAAAACGAAGCGAAAAAAACGACGTTTGGTGCCCGAAAAAGGAAAATCCGTAGCTAATTAGCTACTGGTTAGCTACGAATATTTCTTGTTTTTGATTTTCCGGGTACCAAACGTCGTTTTTTCCGCTTCGTTTTTTTCACACCTCTATTATGCATGATTATCTATATTTTCACCAACTTATAGCTATTAATATCATTCATAAAGTCGTGTACACATACGAGATCCATGACTCGTTTAATGGTTTAACACACTTATGATCTACATTCACATATAAATACGCACAAACACATATACATACGCACATACACGTACACATATATCACAAGTCTTTCATATATGTAAATATACATATAGAACAATAAATTCATCACAATTTGGTGAAAAGTATAGTAATTAGATTGTTAAAACTGTGAAATGAATAGTTGATCCCGAAGGTGCACACGACTTTATGAATGATATTAATATCTATAAGTTGGTGAAACTATAGATAATCATGTATAGTAGAGGTGTAAAAAAACGAAGCGAAAAAAACGACGTTTGGTGCCCAAAAAATAGAAAATAAAAAATTTTGTATCTAATCCGTAGCTAATTAGCTACGGAGTAGCTACGGATTTTTCTTATTTTTTATTTTTCGGGCATTAAATATCGTTTTTTTTTCTTCGTTTATCTTTATTTTCAACAACTTATAGTTATTAATAGTGTTCATAAAGTCGTTTGCACCTTCGAGATCCTTTACTCATTTAAGGGTTCAATATTGTATCCGTAGCTATTCCGTAGCCATTCTGTAGCTAATTAGCTACGGAATAGCTCTGGGTTAACATCCGTAACTATCCCGTAGCTATACCGTAGCTAATTAGCTACGGAATAACTACGGGCTAGCATCTGTAGTTATTCCGTAGTTATTTCGTAGCTAATTAGCTACGGTATAACTACGGAATAACATC